CTAGTTCCTCCAGTGAGTTTGTTGTTCCTGCAAAATTTATTCTATCATTTATTGGCTATATTTTTTTACTATTTGGGTGTGGCGGGGATGATGCGAGCCATTATTTATAAGTTTTTAAAATTTTAAAACACATTCAATTTAGAGATAACACCTACGCCTCTATTTCCTTTAGCCCGTTATCTCTTACAATAAATTATCGTGACTTTGCATTAGTTGCTACCTAGACTACATGCGAGTGACCACCAAATTATTCATATAACTCAGGCCAATCCTGAGCACCAGGCTATCATTGCCTACATGTTGAAGGGATTTAATATAGCTTTCTGCTGTTAATGCAATATGTTAGGCATACAAGTTTGTATGACATATAATATTCTTACTTTTATTGTCTCCGCGTCTTGTGATTTCACCTTTTGACGTAGGTAAGGAAGATGGACACAATGTATGATGCTGCTGTATTTGCAGCAGAAGCATGTGACAAAGTGCATGGTTGCTGTGGCCAGCAACATACACCTTGCTTGCAAAGGAAGATTACAGAATATTTTGTAAACGGTACTGAAGTTGACGTTCCAAAGAGGATTGGTGGAAGCAGGTGAGAAGCCTATCGAACTTTCTAGACTTTTCCTTTGGCCATACATAGGAAGATGTAACTGCTACTTTTCATGTCGTTGGATGTCTTGGCTACCATGATTTCAGGCATCCAGTACAGTATCTTATTTTGTGTCATCTTTTATATCATTGAATGGGATCAGAATATTTTTTAAAAATTTTCCATTACAGATTTTTATCTAATTCAATCCATCTCTACGCTTTCTTGAGTTTGTGTTTTTCATATGCAACATCATTTCTTCTCCCAAAGATGTCAATCTGTAGTGCTAATGCAATCAATTTCTTAATTGCAGCCCATTTTTGACAGCTGATATTAAGGTAATTTTTTTTTTCTCAAATAGTTTTGGCAAGGAGGAAATACAATGCAGTCTTAATGTTTTCATCACTTGTTTCATGGAACAGGTGTTTCTACAGTGCAACTCACATGCCAAATTTACTCCCAGAGCCATTGCAAGGATATTGCATGGTATTGCAAGCCCAGCATTCCCGTCTGCTGTTTGGTCGAGAACTCACTTCTGGTATATCCTCTCTAGAGCTGTATCTTTTAAGCAAAATATGCTCAGATTTTTTTGGTCTTAATATGACCATTTATCATTTACAACACCCATACATGCACAAAGTTCTTTCTTCCTATAGCTGTGGAAACAAACATATTGCCGACTAGCAAGGGTACTGTTAAAATGATTATTTTTTGTCATCCTAGTCAGTTTGAAACTCATCTAATATTGAATCAGGGCACTCATGAGTTTCCCAGGAGAATCTTAGTGATATCAATCCACTTATTATCCTCCACCCAACCAGAAGAAAAAAGGACAGAAAATAGTAGGCATTTTTCGTTTTCAACAGTTCCTATAAAATTAACCTCGTGTTTAAATTCAACCTCTTCATCCTTGGATATTACACAAGTCATGTTATGCTGAATGGTTTCTTAGTTCTCACTAATCTTACTAATATGATCAATCTCCTATGACCCTTAGAAAAATTAGTTTTTTTTGGTGTTTCTCTCGTTTTTGACCAAGAGTTCCCTACATAATAATCTCTTGAACCTCTCACTTTTATATTCAAGACCTTCAACCAAGTATATTGAAGAAGCTCACTGTGCTGTCTGGTTTCAGGGGAAGGTATATGCAAACAGACTTCAAAGCAATAACCGAAGCAGCTAAGGCAGAGCTCATGAAACTTGTAGGGAAGGATGTTCTTTAACGAGGTCATCCCATGTTATGACACATTGAAATTTGACTTAAAATGCTACAAAATGGTGAAATACCATCAGCTATCTAAGATATGCTGTCATAGTTCTCTCTTGTCTCCTTTGATTGAGCATGAAAGCTACATCCTCTTTCTTTTCTTTTCTTCCAGTGCTTGCATGAGTAGGAATCCATACAGGTAGCATTTTTCTGCTAGCACTTTTAGGTGATTCACAACATTAAGAACTTCTATTACTTTCCAAAGGCAAATACTTGAAAGAATACAAAAGCTACACATCAACAATATCCTGCAATTGATGCAAGTTCTATTTCACAATTGGAGGACTACTGTGAAAGAGCTAAGGAGTAAGGTCTTTGTTTCCATTAGAACAGATCCATTAGTGGCTAGCTAACCTGATCTCTTTCATAAGGCAAGGATACACCTTGCAGATTACCTTCCCGTGTTCAAGGTTGAAGGCTAGTCGATGGTTAGAGGCGGATCTAGGATTTGCACTTGATGGATACATATCTCGAGATTACTGAGTCCAGCTGAACCCATATCACAAAAGCTGCATCAGCCAGCAACTATTGATGTGATGGCGGCATATTTATTCTTTGACAGTACTGTAGAGCTAGTGCTTGAAGGGATAGGTAAATGATGTATAAAAATTGTGCAAGCTTCTTTTGTATTGTATTATTTATTATTTGTATTTATAAAAAGGTGCAGTTCTGGTAAAATAGTATAATGCCTTAGCTGCACTATTTAATATTCATCCACAGTGGAATTCTGTTTCTTTGCAATTTCTTGTCTGACTTGGCTATATGTAATTCCCATCCTTGTGATGATGCTTGTTTCTATTAAGTAAATGATTGGTAGGAATAACTATATATCCCTTTGCTTAGTGCTATTTGCCCAGCACAAATGATTCGAAGTGAATGTGAAACGTGTTCATTTTCTTTTTGGAAAATGATCAAAATTATCCTTGAACTACGTGAAATAGAATATTTATATTCTTCGTTATATTTTGATCGTTATCTTAATAGATCACAAATATATTTTAAGAGTTAATGATCCAAAATTTTAGTGATGTGGCAAGCCATATGGGATTAATCCCTCTAAGCGTTGCAACTAGGATGCCCACTAAATGATGAGTCATTAATTCTGACTTGATTTATAACCCAAACCCATGATGGTATACTGTATGCATGTTAAATGTGTGCATGTATTTGGCTGGAAAAGGCCTATTTTGTGTTGATCTCAAGGTTTTGTTTCGTGGGTCATTGAATTTGGGTCGGGAGCAATGGGTTAGCAAGAATGGGTTATGAATTGCTGACTCATAATTTAGCGGGAATCCTAGTTGGCAATGCTTAGGTGGAAGGATTAGTCCCACGTGATATGTCACATCATTGAAAATTTGGGTTGTTAACTTTGAAGGAGTCGTTTGGTATGAGGTATAATAGTCATGGATTACAATGCATGATTATTTTGTTTTGCGTTGGGTTGGAGGTATTAGCCAGTCCTTAAATTATTTATACCATAGTGTTGGGATAAGTTATTCCATATATATGATGTAATAACTTATCCCGGGACAACTTGTTCCCAACCAAACGACCCCCAAGGGTATTTGTGGTCTATTGGGAGAACGACAAGGGCTTTTTTTAAATCTCAAAATGTAACGAAAAATATAAATAGTTTATTTCGTATAGTTTCGAAGCAATTTTGACCCTTTTTGTTTTCTTTTTATTCACAAACTAAAAGGCATACTTAAAAAGTCTGTTATGAAGTGATGACGTGGAGGACAACATGGCTAAATCGGAAGATAATTTTATTCAGCCTAGAAGGAGTAACCGTGTGAAAATACCATCTAAAAGATTTGTTGACTAACGTGGGAGTAAAGTGCGCGCTAAATATGCGTCAAGTGGAGTAGGAAATATCTGATATAAATCTATTATCTCTAGGCATAGTTAGGTTAGGCAATTGTTGTTGCATTGTATCCCTATTTCTCATCTCTATTTTCTTCTGTAATTCTCTTCTCATCTCGTCTGTTCCTTCTTATTTACTTGCAGTTTCTATGAAATCATTAGTAGTTGTATTATGGTTCAGTAACTAATATAGTGATCAGTTGGTCGTTATTGCATTTGTTCTATTGGTGCTTTCATTGAGAGTGTTCGCTAAATATGCGGTAAGTGGAGTAGGAAATATCTGATATAAATCTATTATCTCTAGGCGTTGTTAGGTTAGGCGATTGTTGTTGCATCGTATCCCTATTTCTCATCTCTATTTTCTTCTGTAATTCTCTTCTCATCTCTTCTCCGTTCCTTCCTATTTCCTTGCGATTTCTATGTTATCATTAGTAGTTGTAATTTGGTTCAGTAACTAATATAGTGATCAGTTGGTCGTTATTGCATTTGTTCTAAAGTCCCTCTCCCATCACAAAGAAAAGCACTCCTAAAGGCAATATTTGGGGTGAGTTTCAGATGGAGCGTATCAAAAACGTTTCGAGATGCAAATGAAAGGCGTATATTAATTGATAGAATTCAAAAATCAATTTTTTCATTAAAGAGGTTCTACCTTTTTTCAAAATCATTACTCTCTAAATGAATTGATGATATAATAGATAAAAAATATATTATTATTTTTTGAAGCAAGGAATCAAAATGAATAAGTAAAAAAGGACCGAAGGAGTATTAAGGATCATTATATTTTAGTAAAGACGAGATATAAATAAGAATGAAACAAATATAAACTTATAGGATGAGAAAAACAAGTGGCATGTTGTCCATTACTACAACATCGGATGACCATTCGTTAATGTCTCAATTCTTGAGACCAATTTCTCCATTGTTTCATTCATTTCATTTTCCTCAAGAAACAGTTGACAAGATCAATCATCCTTTGCACCCCCCCCCCCCCCCCCCC